TGTTGTGGTGTTATTGGAGAAGAAAAATTATGTGTTATGCCTATATTTTCAAAAAAAAAATCAAAAAGCTCATTTTGAAATTCACCACCATGATCACTTCTAATTGATTTTATTTTCAAATCTTTCTCATTTTGAATAACCTTAGCAAATTTCTTAAAAGTCTTAAAAGCATTATTTTTGATTGCCAAAAAAAAAGTTCAAGTGAACCTAGAATAATCATCTACAATAACTAGTGCATAATAATTACCACCTAGGTTTCTTATCCTAGAGGGTCCAAATAAGTCCATGTGTAGTAATTCTAAAGGCTGTCATGTAGAGATAATATTTTTATTCTTAAAAGAGGTTTTAGTTTGCTTTCCTTTTTGGCATGCAACACAAATTTTATCTTTGTTAAAATTTAACTTAGGCAGGTCAATCACTAAATCTTTCGAAATCAATTTATTTAAATGATGCATGTGAATGTGTGCAACTCTCCTGTGCCATAACTAAGGATCTTCATTCTTAGAAACAAGACAGGAGATAAACCTAGGAATTATGATGTCAAGATCAATTACATAAATATTGTTAAGACACATATCTTTCAAAATAGTTTCTTGTGTGTTATCCTTCACTATGTTACATGTAGTTGATTCAAAGGTAACTTTCAATCCTTTGTCACATAGTTGATTGATGCTCAGAAGGTTGTGTTTTAATCCTTCTACAAGTAACACATTTTGAATCATGAAGTTGTTGCTTATTTGTATTAGTCCTGATCCAAGAATTTTGCCCTTGTTGTCACCACTATATGTCACATGTCCTTGACTCTTCTTTGTGAAGCTTTCAAACTTGTTATTGTCATTGGTCATGTGCTTAGAGCATCCGCTATCAAGAAATCAGATTGATTTCTTATTCTTGATAATTATCTGTGATGAGGCTTCATCATCACTTTTTGTTATTGAGTAAAGATTTGTTTTTTCTTCTCCATCACTGCTTTTGGAAGAGCTTTCTTGTGTAGTGGAAAATTCATTGTCCTCCCAAGCAATATAAGTTTTGTGTTTGTTCTTAAAGATCTTTTTTATTTTTCTTCTTTTCTTTCACATCCTGCTTAATTTCTGGACAGTCAAGTTTGATGTGGCCAGGTTTTCCACATCCATTACACTTGTACTTATTTGATTTCTCCTTTCTTTGTTGTCCCTTTTTTTTGTTCTTCACAAATCGAAAATTTTTTTTCACAAAAAAAGATATATCAAAATCTGAAAACTCACCTTCATTTTTACTTTCATCTTGTGAAGTTTTTACTGCATTTAGAGCTATCGTCTTTGTTTGGTTCTTTTCACCGTTCTTTAACATTTTTAGTTCCATCTCATGCTTTCGCACCTTCCCAAATAGAGTAGCAATATCCATTTTTGTGAGATTCTTTAATTCTGTAATAGCAGTGACCTTTGGTTGTCAATTCCTGTCTAAGGACTTCAAGATTTTTGTATTCAGCTCCTCATTGTCAAAACATTTTCCTAAAGCTTCCAAGTGATTTACTATATGTGTGAAGCATGTCTATAAATCAGTGATGCTTTCATTCTGCTGCATTTGAAACAATTCATATTTTTAGATGAGTATGTTCTTGCGTGCTCGTTTTAATTCATTTGTTCTTTCATGTGTCACTTCAAGAGTGTCTCACATTTCTTTTGTCATCTTGCACTGTAAGACCCTGTAAAATTCATTTCAAGTTAGGACATAAACAATAGTGTTTCAGGCTCTTACATCATATTGGGCATGTTTGTTTTCATCCGACGACCATTTATCAAAGGACTTTGGAACAACTTCATCCATCAGAATGTAGGGATTGTTGAGTACAACATCCCAAACTCTATAATCCAATGTTTGAAAAAATATTTTCATCATTGCCTTTTAAAATTGATAGTCTTCTACTTCAAATAGTGGTAGTTTGTTTATTGAGGCTCATTCCCTGTAAACCTGATTCTGCATAGACATCTTGACAGGTCGTTTAGAAATAATTTATCTAACCAAGCTCTGATACCACTTGTTAGACAAATGACATCTAGAGGGGGGGGTGAATAGATGCACAAATTAAATTAGATGTCAAATTAAAAATTTATTTAAGATGTCCAATAATTTGTTAATTCAATTTTAATTATCAGATAAAAAATAGATAAAGCGGAAGTGATATAATCAGAGAGATAAAGGAAAAGAAATAAGTAGATGTAAGCACAAAGGTATAAGGAAGAGAAAAACACATAAAAATTTATATTGGTTTGGGTCAAGTCAACCCTATATCTAGTGCCTTGTCTCCTTTAATACGAGAGAGACAACCCAATTCACTATCTTTAAAATTTAATTTACAAATTACAATCAACCTTGCAGAAGAACCAGTAAAAAGCAAACTAATTAAAAAGATAATCATCTCTCTAGAATCCCACTAGAGATGAACACTTCCTCTGAACAAATCAAAGGATGAAGGATAAACAGTTCCCACAAAGGAAACCCACACCTCTCAAGAATCACACTTAAGATGAAACACCTCCTTAGAATCTTACTAAGGATGAACACCTCCTTAAACAAATCAAATGGATGAAAATACCTCCTTAGAATCCCACTAAGGATGAACACCTCTCTGAATAAATCAAAGGGATGAAAACAACTTATGACAATAGAAACTCCAAACACAGAAGCACACTAATCAAGAGACACAATCAATAAAATAAGAACAATCACACCTGATAATGGAGACAACAAATTGTAAAAACCTATAGAATGTCAATCTCAAGGAACCAATGTGATTAACAATAAAAGTGCAGAAGACAATATGAAAAAGTTATCTCAGAAAACCTAAAAATGCTCTATTGCCTTGCTCAGAATGAATTTCTTAAATCTGATTATCTATAATCTGTATTTTCGAATTTTGTGATTGTGTATATTTTATTTTTCATCAAAACTCATTTAAATAGAAAAATAACATCAAAAAATAGTCGTTGGTTATTAATAATTTCATAGAAAAAAATCAGGATGTATCCAAAAATATTTATTCTTAAAAAACGGATATATTTTTCAAATTTAAACTGCCATAATCAATTATGTTACCAGTATAATCAATTATGATAGAGAGAAAATCAATTTTTTACCTCCGATGCATCATAATCAATTATGACACTCACCACAAGAAATTTTATAATTAGCTAGGAAAATTAGCTACAAAATTTATTTTTCACTAATGTGTAGCTAATTAGCTATGGAATAGTGAAAGAATAAAGTTGTAGTTAATTTGTAGTAAAATAGCTAGAAGACTAATATTTTTGTAGTTATTCTCTCACTTAACAAAAAAATAATTTAGTTAGGAAAATTTTTGTCACTAATCCCTCGCTATAAATATTAGCTATATTACTTTTTGAAGTTATTTCCTAGCTAAATTATGTAACATACAATTATAGTTAAACTCGTAGCAAATTTATAGCAACTATCAAATTGAAAAAAATATTAAATTATTGGGAACATTTTTATAAATTATTTCAGTTTTATAAAAAATTATTTATAAAAAATACTTGTAAATTTCTCTAAAAATATATAATTATAAAAAATAATTTTTGATCTTTTTGAAAAAAATATCAATAAAAATTAATTACAATTTTTTCTTAAAAAAACTATTTTTACCAAATTTACTATAAATATATAATTATATATATATAAATTATTTTTTTATCTAAAATAAATTATTTAGAAATAATTATAATTTTTTTGAAAAAATATCTAAAAAAATTGATAAATATTTAAAATTATTTTTTGTAAGTTTTTTATAAATTTAAATTTGTTAGAAATATTTAATAATATTTAAATTAATAGAAAAATTTTATAAATAATATTTTTTTATAATTTTTTTAGAAACTATTCTTTATAAGAAATAAAAAAATTTATATTTAGAAATACTAATTTATTTATTTATTTTATAATTCTTTTAATAAAAATCTAAATTATTTTTTTGTCATCTTCTTCATTCTTAGTTTTTCAAACCTAACGCCTCTCTCTGTCTTGTGCGGTTGCTCCCTGCCGCTCCCTACTGCCGCTCCCTTCCCCTGCTGCTGCCGCTCCCTTCCCCTGCTGCTGCCGCCACCATCCGCTGCTGCTGTCGCTGCCGTTCTCGCTCTCGCGCCGCTCCCCTAATACTCTTGCTCCTGCTCCCGCGCTGTCCTGCGCCGCGTCCACTGTTGTTCTGCGCCGCGTCCGCACACGCTGCCGCTGACGTTTTCTCACGGTAATCTTTTTTTCATTTTGAATGTTACCCTGTGATTTGAGTTTTGGGAGGTTTAATTTTATTCAATATGTATTTAAGTTTTATCCATCGTTAATTGTCTATCGCCAAATAGATTTAAGTTTGTTGTGTATTATTTTTAGAGTGAACTCTGTTCTGTTGAGTAAGTAGCATTATTACGTATACCATGTTACAGCAATGCAGATTATTATATATTTTTGTGCATTATTATATATTTATGGTGTGTCCTTGGAACCTAGTTGGGTTAGGAAATTATGATAGCAGAGGCAGATGCATATATTCCTTTACTCATGTAGCAGCTGGCGGCAAAGTGACATTGAATAATTTTCATAGTGTGAGAGTTCAATAATGATGTGTGAGACCGGAAGTGTGGTGTGTGCAGTGCAGGTAGGAAGGGAAAGGCTGCAGTGATGGATTAGGCTAAATAGGAGAGTGACTGTGCGAGAGAGTAATTACTCCAACAAGTACATGATCATTTTTTGGGAAAATGAGATCATGAGAAATTGTAAGTGTAACTCAGTATGAGGCCAAAACAATACCCAGGCACATGAACGGATATTGCGGGATAAGTAGAAGTATGATTACTTACCATCTATATGTTACAGAGAGAAGAGTGGATGATTTTGTTTGTAGTAAGTACCTCCACCACCTATCTCTCCTCCATACCACTATTCTTCACCACCTCCTCCACCAAAGAAGCCATATTATTATCACTCTCCTCCACCACCTTCACCTCCTCCTCCTACGCCATATTACTATCACTCTCCTCCTCCACCTTCACCTCCTCCACCCAAGCCATACTACTATCACTCACCACCACCACCTCCCAAAAAGAAGCCATAGTATTATCACTCTCCTCCACCACCTTCACCTCCACCGCCTAAGAAGCCATACTACTACCATTCTCCTCCACCACCTTCACCACCTCCACCAAAACCATACTACTACCACTCACCCCTCACCACCTTCACCTCCTCCACCTAAGCCATAATACTACCATTCTCCCCCACCCCCACCCAAGAAGCCATACTACTATCACTCACCGCCTCCACCTTCACCTCCTCCACCGAAACCATACTACTACCACTCTCCACCACCACCTTCACCTCCTCCTCCAAAGCCATACTACTACCATTCTCCACCTCCTCCTAAGAAGCCTTACAAATATCCATCTCCCCCACCTCCAGTGCACCCTTACCCTCACCCCTATCCCCACCCTCCACCCTACAAAATATTCTCTGATTTGATTCTTTTACGGTATTTGTATATTTTGATTAAATCTTTTAATCAATCGCAATTGTGTTTGGCTAATTTTAAATTAGGCAAAATGATATTTTTTTAAGTTTATATAAACTAAAAAGACTCCTTGTATATCAGGTATCAATCAATCATTTTCCCATATTTTAGTAGCCTTGATATCTGCCTTATTATTATGTTGTTTTTTTTAGTAAGAAATAGAAAAGGAAGAAATAAATCGGTGTGGGAAAAATCATTTGATTGAAGAAAACATAACAAAAATTATTTATGAAGGTTAAACAAAAGAAAAGAGTCTAAACCTCATCTCAAAATCACGCTGGTTCAGAGACTTTACCTTGTCCACCAAATCCATGATGTCTTAATTAAATTAATCCTTTCAACTTTTAGTTGGCCCAATATATTATCAAAGTTCAATAAATTGTGAGTGGGAGAGAACCTAAAACTCAATAGCTCCTAAATTTGTTATGATTTGAAAAAAAAAAAACATATATGTTTAAGGTTTAATTTTATTTGTGACTATAATTACTCGTGCATTCATGATTAATAGTGTTTGGAAATTATAATAGATTCGTGGTTTCAACTAAGACAATAAGTTTTACTGTAAGAATGAAGCAGTGGACAAATTCGAATGCAGCACAAGATCCTCGATATTCTTCATCTGACACGTGATAACTATATTATTATACTCTCTTCTCACTATAATTAGATCACAGGGTCAGTGCTTTACAAGTTTAGGATAGAGTGTTGCATTGCAATTTATTCTGTAGTACCCTTGGATATTTGAAAATAGGATTGTAATTTATTCTGAAAACAAATATTGCTTTTCTCCTGAAATTGTGTTTCTTAGTGTACAAAAAAAATTATAAATTTTTTTTTTCAAAAGTATTATTCCAATTAATATATTGTACTTATTGATAATTTTTAGTTTTGTTAAACCAGCTTCAAGATTAATGAAACCAGATCGAAGATGGATGTTACAAAGAAATAATCAATTCGGTATTATAACTGAAGAATTCAGAAATGGTGTTAATGGTTTTATTCAAATAGCGACAAGAGACCCAAAATTTGCTGATGTAGCAGGGCGTATTCCTTGCCCATGTGGAAAATGTAGAAATCATTATTGGGATGTATCATTTAATGTGGAAAAACATTTGTATCACCATGGATTTATGGATGGTTACACAAATTGGATCCTTCATGGTGAGGAAAGATGGACCGATGATGTATCAATGATGAAAACGTACTTTAAACTTTGTTTCTATTTGTAATTGTGTTATACAAAACTTTTTAGTTGAAATATTATTTTTGTTATGTTTTAATTGTTTGAAACATCATTTTAACTATGTTTAAACAATACTTTTATATTGAAAGTTGATAAGTTTGTCTTTTTTTTTAAGAATGAGTAATAATTTAAATCTTAAATATTTGATATTATAAATTTTGATAAAAATTATGAGGGATTAACTATGAAATAGTGAGAAAAACATTGCAAAAGATTAACTACGGATTAGCGAAGAAATAATTGTGAGGCATTAACCACTAGCTAGAGATAAATTATTAGGGATTAACTACAGATTAGCGAGAGATAAATTGTTAGGGATTAGCTACGGATTAGTGAGAGAAAAATTGCGAGGGATTAGCTACGGATTAGCGAGAGAAAAATTGCGAGGGTTTAGCTACGGATTAGCGAGAGAAAAATTGCGAGGGATTAGCTACGGATTAGCGAGAGAAAAATTGCTAGGGATTAGCTACAAATTAGCGAGAGCGAAATTGCGAGAGATTAACTACAAGTTTTGGGAGATCAAATTAGCTAGGGATAAACAAAAGTTCATCATTTAAATTAGCAAGGGATTTAGCGACAGTTTAGCGACAAAATTTGCTACAAATTTGAGAGAGAATACATTTGTATCTAATTAGCTACTTGGATTTAGCTACGGACTATTCCATAGCTATTCTGTAGCTAATCTGTAGCAAAACATACCAGCGAGAGATTAGCTATAAAATAGCTACAGAATGTGTGATAGCTAATATGTAAAATTCTTGTAGTGACTTATATAATCGATTATGACCCTTACATAATCGATTATGACAGAAAACTTTCAAAAACAATTGTTTCATTGCTAAATAATCAATTATGAGCATCTCATAATTGATTATGACAGAGAAAAATGTCATAAAATGAAATTGTTTCACACTTGTGTTTTGGAGGCTTATGCATAATACTACTTCATCAACTTGTACATTCATATCCAGTGTTCTAAGATGTTATCTAGTCTTCATGTTTCATCTTGGGCTTGCTTGAGTCATCATCTTCTTTAGAAGGTATATCTAGTCTTCAGACTTCATCTTGAACTTGTTTGAGTCTTAAATGATGTTGACTTGAATCTTCATCAAAATCATCTTCTTCAGAATGTAGGAAAATATTTTACATAACTATTAATCTTCCCATAGTACTTTCAATCTCCCCACAGTGCTTTCACCTAGAGGAAAGATCGTTCATTCTACGTTTTGCGTCCATTATTAATAAATGAAGAATCAACTTGTAATATTGTTTAAGGGAGTATTCAAGCTAAGCTTTTGATGAAACCAAGTTAGTTATATGGGATGAGGCACCACTGATGAACAAATTGTGCTTTGAAACATTTGATAGAACATTGAAATATATTATAAAATGTCAAAATAAAGACAATAATGTAAAATCATTTGGTGGTAAAGTTGTCGTCTTAGGAGGTTGTTGCCGCCATCAAAACGAGGCGGTCGGAGCGACGCGATGGTTCTGACTTTCCGACTTTTGTGTTTTTATTGGTGTAGTTACAACGCCTTTAAGTTGTCTGATAACCGGACTGAACCTAGAGGCGATGTTTTCGAAAGGGCGCTCTTGGATTGTCCGATAACCGGGCTAATCCAAGAGCTAGTTTTGAAGGGTTCTCTGGAGTCGCCACCGATGTTTTTACCGAAAACATCGGAAAAGGAGTGAAAAGGCGTTGGTTTTCGAAAAACCAACTTTGGTCATTAGAACCAGAGTTGGGTAAGGGAGTTAGTTACGTGTAAAGGAAGGGTTAGTTCCTTTACGACGCCCCTTTCAGGTTCCCTATGATAGGCCAGCTATTTAAAATAATTAAACCGGTGAAAATACGCTTTTACCCTTTTATTTTGCGAAATTTAAAGATTATGACTACATGACCCTATATCTATTGCATAATTGAAATAAAGCGGTAAAAAGAGAGAAAGAGTGTAGAAACCTCCGAGGCACGCTTTCTATTAATTCTTTAAAAATTAGGGTGCTATGTTGCAACCCTTCACTCTACACAGCGTCGGAAACCTCTCGAAACGCTAAAAAACACTCTTAGAAACACTCAGAAACTCCAGAAATGCTTCGGAGGGATTCTAGAGAGAGAATTTGAAGAGATTTCTAGAGAGAAGGAGGAAGAACTGTGTGAAATGAGGGGAATGAGGGCCCTATTTATAGGGATTCGCGCCTGCCAGGTCGAGACAACGGTCTCGTCTGACAAGGTCGAGACGGCGGTCTCGCCAGTCGAGACGGCGGTCTCGCCTTGCGAGAATGGTGAGACGGCGGTCTCGAATCTGGGACAGCGGTCCCGAATCTGGGACAGCGGTCTCGACCTTAAAAGGCGAAAATCCTTATTTTGGTGCCAAAAATCTCTCATATCCTAGTATGGGGCCTAATAGTCTCTCTTAGTGGCTTCTTAGGCTTCATCCATCTTCAAAAAGGAGGTCTTCTAGTCTTTATTATGAGGCCGGACAAGATTTGGGGTCTACAGCTGCCCCCCCTTTACCCGACTAGTCGACTGTTGGCCTGTTGTGCCAAGAGATCGACTGGAGGGTAAAGGAGTTTACCCTCTTGCCTGGTTGCCCTTCAGATGTTCCGTCTTTGTGGCGGTTAATCTTCTGGAGAAAAAGTGTGTTGTGCGCCTCCGGGATGCTCCTTCTTGTGGTAGCCGATCCTTTAGGCTGATGAGTACGAACCCTCATCTGGTTTGACGAGTATGAACCCTCGCCCGGTGAGCCCCCTTTTGTAAGGCCCGATGAGTATACACCCCCATCTGGTGTTTGACGAGTATGAACCCCCTGTCCGGTAAGCCCCCTTTTGTAAGGCCCGATGAGTATACACCCCCATCTAGTGTTAAGCCTCTGGATGCTCCTCTTTGCGGTAGCCGATCCTTCAGCTGTGGTGGCGGCTTACTGCTCTAGCTCATGCGCCGTTGTTTGACGAGTATGAACCCCCGTCCGGTAAGCCCCCTTTTGTAAGGCCTGATGAGTATACACCCCCATCTGGTGTTTATGCCTCTGGATGCTCCTTCTTGCGGTAGCTGATCCTTCGGCTGTGGTCGCGGCTTACTGCTCTAGCTCATGCGCCGAGCATTGAGATGTACTTTCTCGTCTGTCTGAGATTCGTTCGGTCTGTGCCGGGGACTTTGTAGGTGTTCATCCAGCTTGTTGGTTGCTGGGGATTCTTTGTTTTTGATCTTTTGGTCATCGAAACTTTGGTTGTTTCGAGGATACCTAATTGACGAGGTCTTACCGGGATACCCTTGAGTGCTTTTTATTTATGCAGGTATGAAACTGACCTTTTTATTTATCTGAAGTATATTCGTTTGTTTCGACAAAGTCCTTCTTATGAAACTATTTGTGTATGGATGCTTTTGATGCAATTTGTTTTAGTTGGGGGGCATCTAGAAAGTGACCGGTACTTCCTTTTTCTTTTGTTGTTCTATCGTGACTTTTCTTTTTGTTTTAGCCCTATCTTTTGCCTAGACCGCCCTTTATGAGTTTTCGATCTAGCGGGCTTAATTCTTGCTTAGGATATTTTAGTGGTTTCTTTTTTCTTTTTATGAAGGCCTTAACT